TAACAAAATCAAACTTTCAATATATTCCAACTTACTAATATATAATTCTCCCAACTTGATTAATATTTGAACCAAAATAACGTCACATACCTACGTACCTTAGTACCCGTCAAGGGTAAAATAGTCATTTCACGCCCCCAATATATAATTCTCGGAACGGGCTGTGACATGTTAAGGGCTTATAGACGAGAAAATGATGTTATTACACTCTAAAGTGTGTTAAGTGATTTAGGTTGGCAAAAAATTGAAGAAAATAGCTTTGAATATAATAGTAGGGATGAAATTAGCAATTTCTAATGAATTTAGAGACTTATTTTATCGAAAATTAATTTAGGGACTTAATTTTCACTGATGTGATAGTTCAGGGACTAAATCGACACTTCACCCTGTTGTTTATTCATCTCCCGTAAAAATAATATCGTTTTGTTCATAAAAAAAAAAAAAAAAAAGTAATGTGATGTGTACAAAATAATACATAAAATATTATCAAAACACACATAAAAGGATCTAAGCCTAAAAAGAAAAATCCTCCACAGAGCCCAGTCAGTAAGGTTCTATACGCCATAAGATTGAAATAAAGCATTTTATTGTGCACCATAAGATTAGGAGAATCAATCTTATACCTAGCCAATTACCAATGGCTGATCAAAGTTCTAGCTCATAAATATTAAGTACAAATGTGAAAAACAAACTGAAATCTATAGGCCAAATTGATAATAAAATAAAAATAAAAAAAATAAAAAAAGAACATCTGCACGCCCGCACCGGCAGTAAAGCTAGTTTAGTGGAATTCTTTTCTCTCTTCTATCCCAATTTCTTTCTCTTTTTTTTTTTTGGTCAAAGCCCAATTCTTTTTCATTCACGAAGTTTCTAGCAACTTCTGTTTTGCCTTCATTGCTGTTGGGTTTCATGCTCTTCCTAGTTTTCCGGCACCTGGAATTTTCCAGAAACGTCTTTGACTCGTTATAAATACGTCACTAACCCACGCCCTTCACCAACCAGTGAAGCCAAGCAAGAACTCTCCCTACCGACTCCAATTTGATTCCCTAGGCAGCCAAACAAAACCACATCAAGTTTTTTTTTTTTTTTTTTTTTTTTTTAGGTTTCCCATGAGCGGTAGGTCTCGGGTTCGAGACTTGGGAGCAGCCTCTTCATAAATGGGGGTAAGGCTAGCCGACATTCACCTCTCCCAGACCCTGTGTAAAGCGGGAGCCTTGTGCACTGGGTACGACCCTTTTTAGGTTTCTTTGAATAAATTATAAAAAAATTATCTCAACCATGAATAGGTTTTTGGGAACTTTAACGAAAAATTTCCGGTACTGTTCACTTTAACGAAAAAACATATTTTTACACTAAAAAGTCAATTATGGTACTATTCATTTTACCTTTTATTTTGTCCTTATCGTTAAACTTCAAAGTTTTCAAACTCTTTTCATTAGTTTTCCTTAGGTTTTTTTTGAATAAATTATAAAAAAATTATCTCAATTATGAATCGAACCACAATCTTATATATCATGTTTTAAACATTATAATGTCATACCTCAACTTATGAATTCCTTTAAATATTCTATCAATTTTAAATGTTAAATGATGAGGTGCTAGGAGTGTAGCTCACTCTTTTGACGCTCACTCTTTTGACAATTGGAATAAAAAATTAATTAATTAATAAAAAATTATTAATTTTCATTTACAATTAAAATCAATTTTAAAAAACCTCTCTCAGCCGCAGCCCTCCTCCCCCCTTCATCCCCAATCCTCCCTTAACCCCCCACCCCCCCCACAATTTTCCGAGCAACCAAACAAACCAAAGCATATAATTTTTTCCAGAAAGAAAATTCAAAACCCAATTTTTGATCCAAAAAACGTGAATTGAATGTGGATCCGGCAATTACAAGCAGGACGCGATTCCCAAACCTCACAAATCAAAATTTACAAACCCTTAAAATCCCAATAGATTTACGAGTTCCCGGAGTGGGATTCAAATCCCACGAAACCTTCATGGCCACTGGACCAAAACACTAGACTATTTCTCTACCAGAGAAAATTAAGATTTAATTTTAATTTAAACCCATGATGTTATGGGTAAAATGATTTTTGGGCATCGGTGGAGACTATGCGCAAATGAAGGAGAGAAGGGAATAGAGAAGACTCGCAGACTACCTCACCGAAAAGATCTCATCCCCTGACTCCATCGAGTTCCTCCTCCTTCCCTAGAACGACGCCTTCCACTACTCCAAAATTCCTAGGTACTCGATTCCACCAGCAGCGACAACCACATCAGCAACGGCGATAATGATCTTCAAATTCTCATGATGCACTCGAGAGCTCCCTTGCTGATCTTTAGAACCTTGACGACGGATAAATGAGGATTGGAAAAGTCTCGATCATCGCCAGGTCTAGGAATCGCGGGCGGGAAGCTCATACGGTAGCCTGATCTCGAGTTCAGGTGGTTTCCATGACAGAGGACTCGCCGCAGACAACCATCAAGAAGCAACGAGAGAGACACGAGGAGAAATGGGGTTTTTAATAATTTTAATTTTTTCAGATTAAAAATTCTTGACTTATTTAATTTTTAAATTATGAGTGGGTCCCATTATTGCCAAGTTATCATTTAACAAATTTAATGGAGGTTGGACATTGCAACGAATTCATAAGTTAATGTATGACATTGTAATATTTAATACATAAAGTATGAGATTGTGGTTCAACCATAGTTGATGTAGTTTTTATAATTTATCTTCTTTTTTTTCAAAATGTTGCTTATCCCCAACTCTCAACAAGGCAACAGCATCTTCGACCAATTCTCTCTCAACTTGTGTGACCCTTTCAAGGATTTCCCATTCCCTTCATCCTCATCACTCTCTACATTCCCTGATTTTTCTCGGGAAAATCGGCTTTTATGAACACTACAGTCGACTGGAAGGAGACCCCCGAAACCCACGTGTTCAAAACAGACATTTTGGGGCTGAAGATGATGTGCGGAAGCGTCAAATATGAAACCAATAAACTACAACGGCAAAATATGATAAGACAAATAATCCAAATGACACAAGGATTTATACTGGTTCGACGAAAGCCTACGTCCAGTTCCGAGACGGCGAGGAAATTCCACTAATATCAAAAGGAGATTACAAATAGAGTTTTAACTCTCAAACCCAAATCTCACATACACCCAATAGCTCTCACTCTCACAAAGAACAATTTGGAGAAGATGGACACACATCAAATACCATCACTCCCAAAAGCTACACAACATGTGGCAGCAACATCTTTGATTGAGGGATTACTAACAAAAGGGGATTACAAACAAATGGGAAGGAGCATCACTGTTTCAAATGGGAGAGCCGAACGCTCTCCCTGGTATGGCTCTTATCTGATGCCGCTCCCCCCATCTCTCCCACATTCGGCTGCAACCTTTATCCATACAAAAGCATCCAATAAAAAATCCAAAGTAAAGGAATAATCATTACTTTACAAACATCATCATGACCTTCCTTTTTTTTTTCAACAAGCATCATCATTGTGTCTTTACTCATGATGTCCACCAAACTTTTCTTTGTTTAGTTTACTAGCCAAAAGGCATTTGGCTTATTGTCCACTTGGCCACTAATTTGGCCACTATCCAACAGAAGAAGGATGAGGTGAAGGTGGAGGTGGAAGACAACAGGGTGCTTTAGATCAGCGAAGAGAAGAATGTGGAGAAGGAGGACAAACACGACAAGTGGCATAGAGTGGTAAGGAGCAGAGGCAAGTTCTTGAAAGATTTCAGCTTCCGGAGAATGCAAAGGTCGATCAGATTAAGGCTGCCATGGAGAATGGAGTTCTGAGTGTGATCGTACCAAAGACAGAGGTGAAGAAGCCTGACGTCAAAGCCGTTGAAATCAATGGTTAATTAATAGTGAAATAATAAGATTATGAATGTTGTGTTCTTAGGAAATAAGATTATGAAATAGAGTGCCCAAAAAAGAGTGATTTGTGTAATTGTTTGTAAAATAATGACTTGTGCGTGGTTAATTTGATACAAATTTGGATTTACGCGTTTGAAAATAATATTAAGTGAGGATAATCGGAAAACAGCTTTTGTAGTAAAAATTTAGATTTAAACTTTTTGGTAAAGTTCATTAGGTTTCATGTTCGAATGTGAAAGTTATATTATTTTTCTGTTACTTGTCATTTCACTCTATATTTTTTCACGCGGTATCATACCATTGCCAAGCCCCTTTCTCACTTCTCCCTCTTCGTCTCTCTACACCTACATCCCGTCTTCTCTCTCCTCTGTCTCACTTTCAATGCGCAAAACATTTTTGTGAGTTTTTAGATTTTAAAGCTCTGATTGGATCAGTTTGAATGAAAAGTTTTAACCAAGCTTCTAAAACTGGAGAAAGGATTTCTAGGCAGCAAAAGGCAAGACCCATGGCGTACAATTGAGATTTTAAAAAAAATGGCTTTGAGATTTGTTGGTTAGGATGTCCTTCCCTCAATTGTGAGCAGCTCTTAATATGCTTTCTTCGCAGGCAGGCGAATTGGAGACAATAGTATGCTTTTGAAGGAGTTTCTTAAAAAAACACTTTCAAACAAATTTGTATAGAATTTATATGCTACGACTAATAGTAGCCCTACTATTGTTCGAAATAGATTACCAATTCTAATTGTGATGTTTGTACTGTAAAATAATGTGATGCCTCGAACGAATGAGGATGGCTCAAGCCATGTATTGTGCCTTGAGAATGTGGGGTTGGGAAGCAATGCATCCAATTTTTCTTTCACTTTATCCTTCTTCTTTTTTGTTAAAGAAAGTACCATATGGTTCGTAAGCAAAGTATCCAAATCTTTTTCACTTTTTTCTTGATAAAGAGAAATACAAAATGGGTTCGAAAGCAATGCATCCCATTCTCTTTCCCTTTGTCTTTTTCTTGTTAAAAAAGAATGAAAATACCTTACTTCAGAATCACCTCCTCTTGAGGTAATGCTCGTTAAATATTTTTTTTTTGCTTCTCTATTTATATTGTTAGAGAACTCTTATTAACCTTTCCCCATTGAAGTTATCTGCTCATTGCATTGCTGAGGTAACATAATATGTCCTCCTTGTGCATGATACCATTCAACATTCATATTTTCTAGCAAATTCATGAAGTAACAATGTCAGCACCAGACACATGAGTTGTTGTTGAATAAGGCATAGATTTCAAAATTTCACTTTTACTCTAGCGAACTGTTGCATTGGGTTGATTTACAATACAGGTACGTATGTACATCTTGGAAACTTTATTTCTTTTCAATATTTGTTGTTTTAGGTGTTTATTTTTACCCATGTGTGACTAAGAAACAAAAGTGTTTGGTTTTACAATATATTTTCTAGCAAATTCGTGAAGTACCAGATCCAGCACTAGACATATTGTTATTGAACAAGGCATAGATTTCACAATTTCATTTTTTTTCCCTACCGGTTAGTTGCATTTGGTTGATTACAATATAGGTACGTATGTTCTTAGAAACTTCATTTCTTTTCAATATTTGTTGTTTTAGGTGTTTGTACTATATGTTTATGCATTTTGATGTTCATCCACGTCAACTGAAATTGAGCTAATCCCCCCCTTATAATCGAATTTTTACTTTTCTCACTCAATACAAAAAGTTTTAAATCATGTCTGCTATATGGTGGTGAAATGTAAACTATTAGAAATTTGTATGCTGTAAAATAATAATGAGTAAATAAATATACACATGCAGTGAAACTGTCAATTGAAAATATAACTTTACCCATTGAAATTCAATTTTCTTTAACTAAAACTCATCATAGTATATTTTCCTAACAAAAACTCATTGACTTTACCTCTTGAGAAAAAAAAAGGGCCTTCGGGTTTTTTACATATATATTTTTTTTCACTTCTCCTATTTATATTGTTAGAAAGCTCTTATTAACTCTTCCCCATTGAAGTTATCTGTTCATATATTTGCATTGATGTGCATCATCTTTCCTCCTTGTGCATGCTAACATTCAACATTCAAATTTTCTTGCAAATTCGTGAAGCACCACTACCAGTACCAGACATATGATTTGTTGCTGAACAAGGCATAGATTTCAAAGTTTCAATTTTACTATGTTGGACAATTGCATTGCGTTGATTTACAATACAGGTATGTAGTACTTCTCGAAAACTCTATTTCTGTCCAATATTTGTTGTTTTAGGCATTTATTTTTATCCTGCTTGACTAAGAAACTAAAATGTTAGTTTTATAATCTAGTGCCCACCAGATATTCTATTTCAGGATCCAGCTCAACAATTTTATTGATTAGGTTTTGACTTCACACAATTTTGTATTTTTAGATGTTTAAAATATCCCTAGTAACTCATGTCAGATTAAAAACAAATTTTAATATCATGATTTCATTGCATATTAATAATAAAAGTATATGATTCTACGGTTTTCATTTGTTTTATTTTATTTTTTTTCCTTTTTAAATTCCCTAATTGCTTTTCAAATTTTCATAAATTAGGATTTTTTTTTTTGGTTTAATTTTTCCGTTTTCAAAATATGGGAGCATTAGTTACCAACAAAATATAAGAATGTTATTTTTTTTTCAAAATTATTTAATTATATTCTATATAGATATGGGTAAATTATTTTACTACACATATATAATAACAATCAAATGTGCTTAATGTATGTAATAATACATGCAAAATAATTTACCTACAACATAAAGGATGTGATTTGGTTCAAATTTATTTTACCTACATTTCACATATAGATATGGGGAAATTATTTTATGTAGATTAAAGTACCTACTTAAAGATGAAGAATGTGAATTGGTTCAAGATTTAATTTACAATTATTTCAAATATATAGATATAAGTAAGGGGAATTTTGATCTAGGTGCAACATCCCTAGCATTTAGACTTTTTTATTAAACTATTTTCTACAATTTTGGTGCCATGTTTTCTAAAATGTCCTTCTTTTTGAAATTCAAAATTACATGAAGTGCCATTGATCCACCAATTTATTCAAAAAGTAGCTCCGAAATCTAGCCTTCTTCAAACCAAATTTATTATTTTTATTAATCCAAAACAAAGACACATATTATTAAGTTATCAACCAATGATATGTGCCAAAAATTAAAATTAAAATAACCAAAACTAAAATAAAACGTACCATAAACTAGAATTAAACGTACCAACACTAAAACTAAACGTACCAATCAACGATATATACAAAATAATTCTCTCACTAAAATGTATACATAATAATTTCAAAATATAAACATCCACCATTTTCATTATCTTGAAGGTAAAATTATATTTTAATTTTAGGAGAAAAAAATATTTTTTACGAAGAAATTATAACAAAGAGATAATTTGATAAGCATCAGGTGGGACTTTGTGGCAAGGCTTCATATCGTTTCGGGTTTGAACTAAGTGATGCTTAAGCCTTAAGTATGAGTCATAGAGGAAAAATAACAAAGATCTACACAAAACTCAAACAAAAGATAAAGATAGAGAAAAAAATAGATAAGTTTTCTGTCTGGGCTCAAAACTGTCATAAATAGTGGGCGATGGAGGAAGGAGACGCTTGAATTTTGAAACGAACCATGAGGGTTGCTGAAAAAAAAAAAAAAAAAAAACTAGAGGAGGTGTGGGGTCTATGGTAATGGGATAAGGATGAATGAAAAAAACAATAAATCAAAAATATAAAGAAATAAAATAATTGAAAAAACCTGATATATCACGTTGCTTGCTGTATGGTGTAAGCTTTACAATGGGCTTACAATAATGTTGTTTAAATTCATCTTTTGCAAGAATCGAACATAAAGCCTTTAACTTACAAGTAAATAGAAATATCACTAAAATCCTTAATGAATCCACGGGTATTCAATCAGGATTTTAAGCGATTCTCTGAAATTCAATGTGTATTCAATCAGGATTTTAAGATAATTTATTAAAATCCTTAGAAATCTGGGTGTATTCAATTAGAATTTTAAAGAAGTTTATAACATTCCAGGTGTATTCAATTAGAATTAGAATTTAAAGAATTTAGAAAAGTTGAGGAATTAGAGGGAATTGGAGAGATTTTGTAGTGTATTTTAAGCATTCACAAATCTCACCTCTTCCCCATGAGATTTCGAGGGAATTGAATCAAAATTTTACATGGAATCTCTACAAATCAGGTAAACTCCAAAAAAATTCATAAATTTATAAATCAATTAAAATCTCTCAAATTCCTAATTGAATACACCCCCTTTATATTTAAACAGGACAAAAATATATGATTATTAATGTTGTGTTGGGGTGCTTCTTTGGTTTAGGCATCAGAGCACTGAGCGCGGGACTTAAAAAAGCCACCAACAAAGAGAAGCATTCCAGCCGTAGTCCTTGATTTCAAAAGGAAATGGAAATTATAATTGCAATTGCCTCAAAAGTTGGAGAGTGCTTGGTCACACCAATAGGAACAGAGTTTGGCTATTTGATTAATTACCATTCCAACCTGGAAAATCTTAAGGGTGAGATAAAAAAGCTTTTTGACAAGAAAGATGGAGTGCAAGGATTGGTAGATGCTGCCCAAAGGAACAGTGAAAGGATCAAACCTGATGTTCAGAGTTGGCTAAATAATGTGAACGACGACATGGTCAAAAAAGTGTTGCAGTTTGAGGATGAAATTAACAAGAAAAGGCGATGTGTGTATCGATGGAGCTTGAGTCGGAGAGCCTATAAGATTAAACAAGAAGTTCTTCAGCTCCAAAACGAAGGAAGATTTGAAAATGTGGCCTATCCTGCACCTCCACCAGAGATATGGTCAACATTCGAAAATGTTTTTAAGGATTTTAAGTCCAGAAGGGCAAAGATGAATGAGGTGATAGAGGGTTTTAAGAGGGAAGAAGTACGAAAGATCGGGATTTGTGGAATGGGGGGTGTGGGTAAAACCACAATGGTGAAAGAAATCATCATAAGATTGGCAAAACTGAACCTGTTTGATAAAATTGTAATGGCAACTGTGTCTCAAAGTCCAAGTATTAGGACGATCCAGTTGGAAATTGCAGAGGAAATAGGTTTGGAATTGAAGGAGGAAACCCAGTCCGGAAGAGCACGAAGGCTACATAGGAGACTCATGGAAATAAAGAGGATCCTGATTGTATTAGATGATGTCTGGGCAGTGCTTGATTTTGAGGCTATAGGACTCCCTTCTGGAAATGCTCATGAAGGGTGCAAAGTTTTGTTGACATCACGAGATTCGGACGTTTGCAACAGGATGCGAAGTCAACAAATTATTGCAGTCCCGATTTTAACACCAGAAGAATCACAGGAGCTCTTTCGAGAAATGGTGGGTGAATCCTTTAATGATCCTGATTTACGTTCCACTGCAAAAGATGTATTGAAGGAATGTGGAGGTTTACCTATTGCAATTGTAACTGTTGGAAAAGCCCTAGAAAAGAAAAACAAGCATGAATGGGATGATGCCCTTAATCAGATGCGAAATTCTACCCCAGTGAACATCCCTGGAGTGAATGACACAGTTTTTTCTAGCATAAAATGGAGTTATGATAGATTGGAGAGTGATGAAGTTAGGTCATGTCTTTTACTTTGTTGTTTATTTCCAGAAGACTATGATATTCCAATTGAGTATTTGGTTCGATATGGGTGGGGTCGAGGATATTTTAGCAGCAGCGTTACTTTGGAAGATGCAAGAAATAGAGTGCATTCTTTGGTTGACCAACTAAAAAGAAGGTTTTTGTTGCTAGATAGTGGCAAGAGTGAGGCTACAAAAATGCATGACGTAGTTCGCGATGTTGCCATATGGATTGCTTCAAGAGATAAAAAAGGATTTTTGATAAGAAGTGATGCTGAAAATAAAGGGTGGCCAAATTTAGCTACATATGACCATTACACTACAATCTCACTTGTTGGCGATTTGGAGATTCCAGTTGGTTTGAAATGCCCAAAACTTGAGCTTCTACAGACGATGGAAGGACTTTTTTCAGAAGGTAGCATGAACAACATTTGTAAGGCGATGAAAGAACTGAAGGTTTTAGCTTTGGTGGGAAAGGAAATGAAAAACCGAGTCTCATTAAGATCACTGAAGAATCTGCGGACCTTGTGCCTAGATGGGTCTAATTTTGATGGCACGTCTACTGATGTTATTGGGAGTTTGGAGAATTTAGAAATCCTCAGCTTTCGGGATTGTTATTCCATGCGTGAGTTGCCGAGGGAAATTGGACGACTTAAACAGTTAAGGTTGTTAGATACGACAAACTGCGAGGAACTTGAGGTGATTCCACATGGTATCTTCTCCAGCTTATGTAGACTTGAAGAGTTGTATATGGTTAATAGCTTTAACGAATGGGAAATTGGAAGAGGAAGAGAAGAAAAGGGGATGGCAAGCATTTCTGAGGTGATGTCTCTGTCCGATCATTTGAAGGTTCTAGCCATAGAGATACCCAGTGTCATCCACTTGTTGACAAAAGACATAGTCTTGAAAAGCCCAACAATAAGATTCCTTATACGCTGTGCAACATGGGGACGGCTTTTTTCAGAGATGAGTACTTATGCATTCGAAAATTGTTTGGAGATTAGTGAAAGTGATGCAAGGGAGTTGGAGGAGAGTCAAGCAGTCAAACTTTTGTTGAAAAAATCTAAAAAATTGTATTTGTCGGAGGTTAAGAATTTCTCTGTCCTCACTGATTTAGACCAAGAAGGATTTCAAGATTTGAAAGATTTGCAGCTTTGGAATTGTCCACATATCGAGTATCTTGCAAATGGAACAAGTGGGTTTTTGACCAACCTAAGATTCCTTGAATTGGTATTTTGTGGTGTCTTAAAATATGCCTTTTCATTATCAGTAGCAAGAAACTTGGTACAACTCAAAGAATTAAACATTGATGGATGTGGTCAAATGGAAGAAATTGTGTCGAAGCAGGGGAGGGAACATGAGGAGGAAGCCGATATGATATCTTTCGATAAATTAACCAATTTGACTCTCGAGGGTCTAGGGAGTTTGGTTGGTTTCTTCCAAGCCAAGAAGCTATACTCCAACCAAGAGGTATGTCCCACTCTCCAATCTCTATGATATGAGGAGGCAGCCGATATGTGGAAATTTGAAATTGTTTAACTGATAATGATTTTTCTTTTTCAGGAAACAACGGCAAGGGTTGAGCATCAATCTGCAGGCGTATTTGAAAAAGCAATATTTCCATCAAAGTGCATTTCATGGTTTCCAAGTTTAGAAGAGGTAGTATTGGGACGTATGAAGTTTGAAGGTGTGCTATTTGATTTGAAAAACATTCCATCTGGATTTCAAGGCTTCCAAAATTTGAGATATTTGGAAATGAGAGAATGTTCTGGTCTAGAATATGTGTTCTTGCATTTAATTGCCCGAAAACTTTTGAATCTTGAAGAGGTAAAGATATTAAAATGCCCGGACATGGAAGCTATAGTCAGAATCCCAGAGGAAATTGAAGAAGAGGCGACAAAATACATGATTTTGTTTCCGAAACTGAACACATTTGAACTAGAAGACCTGCCTCGTCTCACAAGTCTTTGTCCAGAGGGATTTACATTTCTACGGTCATCCACAAAAAAAATGCACGTGAAAAGATGTGAAAATTTGAAGACATTGGGTGTTGTAATTCCACAAAGAAAGAAGTTGGAGAATAACTTGAAGAAGGATTCAACAAGTCATGATTTCAGCACTTCTCCAACACGTTCATCAAATTGGTGCCCTGCTGGATGTGGATGCGCACCATATTCAAGACCAAACGCCCACCGCCCCATTGAAATATTGCCACGTCCAATTAACCTGGAGGTAAGCTTTTAAATCAGGTTCAATTAACCTCTATAAGTACAACTTTTAATCAGTATTGTATCATCTTGTTGATCGTGCTTAATTTTCTAGGTTACACAAACTAATCTTGAGGACTCAAATGATAATGATAATCTCGAAAATCTTACTGTAAGTGACTGTAATTCGATGGAAGTGATTTTCCAACTCAAGGGACCGAAGCATGAAGAAAGTAGTCACTCCATTGAAGCATTCAATAAATTGAGTTCCTTGCGGTTAGATAGATTGCCAGGTTTAACGCGTGTTTGGGAGATGGGTAGTTCACAACCGATGTTGACAGGAAGCAGCTTCGGAAACTTGAAATCGCTGGAGGTTGGTTTTTGCAACCAGTTGAAATACTTGTTTTCATCGTCCATAGTCAAACTTCTCGTGAGTATAGAGGACATAGAAGTTCATAACTGTGAGAAGATGGAAGAAATCGTTGCCGCAGAAGAAGAAACTGATGAAACAATTACATTACCTAAAGTGAAGTCCATCAAGCTTGAAAGTCTGCCAAAACTCAAGTATTTTTGTGGTGAAGCTTATACTTTGAAGTTGCCGTCTTTGGAGTTATTGGAGTTTGATGACGTGCAAAACTTAAGCTTATTAGCTCCAAAGCTTATTGCCACACATCCCCGATTGCAAGTACGCACCGCGTTGGGAGTGGCTGAATGGAAGGGGGACCTCAATGCCACTCTTAAGGAATATTTACGTCACAAGGTATGCTTTAATATAAGGTTTTTAATTTCCAATCATTTATGGCAAACACCACAAAAATTCGACAACAAATTTAGGCAAAGCATAATCAACAGTTCAGATTTAGTTTGACGAAAGTGTAATCAAAATTTAGTCAAAAACCATACACACACACACACACATATATGTATGTGCGTATGTGCACACTAGAGTGTATTTAGATATGTTTTTCTTCTTTTGAAAACTCAATTAGATCTCAAGAAAATATCTGCCTTTTATTTCTAACACAGGAAGGGTGAAGATGATGAAATCGAGAGGGAGGACGAACACAATTAATTGATCAAGCACAAAGGTTAACATGTCTCCATCTTCAACTTCTTCTAGGCTTAGTAAAAACTGCTATTTTCGGAAACACATATACAATAAGCATAACCGTTTCAACTTATTTGAGTTTCAGTGATTTCTAATATTCTCCAATGCATGCAGAACAACAATTCAAAGAAGGTTGTGGCTTCAACAATTCGTTTACCATCTCATATGTACAAACCAATAAAATGTCATTTGTTGCATCAGACTTTCATTCCAAAAATACTATTTATGTTGCTTATTTTATGCATGTATAATAAATTTCGAGTGTGATTGTTACTGTTTGTATCTAAGTTCGCATTATTAATGTATGTTTATTTGCACCAAGAAATGAGAAATGCTTATGTAAAAATAAATGAATAAGATTAAACAAGAAAAACTTTACGCTACTCAAACTTGCAAACACTCAAACTACAAGCATTATGAATAAACACGGAATCAGGCTACGCAATTGCCTTCATCATAACATGATTTTGGCCCCCATTTTATAATTTCCTACCACATTTTCACATTCTTTCCATGAATTTTATAATCATATGCAAAAGAGTTCAATCTAGGGGCTCCAAAAATATCACAGACAGAACAATTAACACAAATCGAATAAAAATTTGAAATCATGAATCGATCCCAAAACTGAAAGTTGAAATTTTTGAAAAGAACTTACATTGGAGGACAGCCCACCGGGACAGGATCATTTATACCTCTTGGGTCGAGAATATTGGCCGGAAAACCGCGGTGACCGTTTCTTTGATATGAAATTGAGGAAATTTGGCTACGGATCTGTAGAAACTAACTTGGGAGTTGGAAAGAGGATGGAAAGAGGAGTCTGGATATGTAATTTGACGGCCGTTGGTGACCCGTGGGCGAAAATAAACTTCATGCGAAAACAAGACCAGATTGAGGTAAGAAAGAAAAATACATACGCAGAAATAACATGTCAGTCAGGCAAGACAAGTAATTGCAACCATAACACAACACAATGAAGAAACATACCATGAGGATTTTGAACAAACATAATGAAGTGTAACCAACAGCATACAAATATCAAAAATATAGAAAAGAATGCTATACAATCACTATAAGTGATTTCAAAGGCCATCTTCTATTTCTGTTTCTGGAAAAAAGTCATGTCGTCAAGATGTCATTCCATTTCCTTACCATGATGAGTAACATGATATTTGAACTTGCTTGCATTCAGAGATCAAACATGGTGGGGTTATAGAGCAGGTGGAGATGTTTTTTCTCTATCCTCAATCAAAATATCAATGTCTCCCTCCTCCCTCGATCACTGTCTTTATTTGTGTGTCAGTTTCAAGCAATGGCTTTGCTGAACGAGAGAGGGAGAGGGGAAGGAGTTCCCAAGCAAATTATGAGGAGGGTGGTGGGGGCAGACTGCTCCGATCACAGATATATTTCAAGGATCACAATTAAAGACTTGCAATCTTTTATGGCTGCCAGTTGTGGGACACTCGCAGTCAGACACACACAGATGGAGATTGTAAAAGACTTTGAATTAGAATTAGTAAATTTGTGTGTGTAGGGGTGGCTCTGTATGGGGTTCCAAACTGAAAATGGAATTTCGAATCCCAAATCGAAAATTTTCAAAACGAGAATTTGAAAACCAATCTTGAATCAAAATTTCGGTATTCCTAATTTTCGGGATTCACAAAATGTTTTCGATATCAGGATGCGTCGGGATTGAATTTTGGGTTTTGGGCTGAAATTTGAGTTCATCATAACATGATTTTGGCCCCATTTTCTAATTTCCTACCACATTTTCACATTCTTTCCATGAATTTTATAATACCTATGCAAAAGAGTTCATTCATTGCCTATTTCAAAACAATACAAGGTTCTACAGAGTTCAATCCCACATCATGTTATAGACATGCTTCAACTACAGAGTGCAATACCAGAAGTCTCATCTCCGACATTCATACAGAATATCGAATAAAAATTCGAAATCAAAAATCAATCCCAAAACTGAAAGTTGAGATTTTAGAAAAATAACTTACATTGGAGAACAGCCCACGAGAAGAGGATCATTTCTACCACTTGGGTCGAGCTCCAATTCCGGCGATATGGCCGGAAGTTGGCCGGAAACCCTGGGTCACCGTTTCTTAAATTTGAAGTTGAGGAAATCGCCTACGAATTTATAGAAACCAACTTGGGGATTGGATAAAGGACGGCAAGAGCATTCTGGATGTGTAGTTTGAGAGCCTTTGGTGACACGTGGACGACAGAGCTCTTGCGCCGGCACTCGGCAGTCGTCGGCTTGCTGTTTAATGGGCTCCTGTTGCGGCTCAAAAGACGAGGAGGAGAGAGGATACGGGAGGAGGAGAGAAAATGGGTTTCTCACACTTTTTACATCTTAATTCTTTTCCGTATTTTTTTTTTATAGAATATACGATATTATCTATCACCAAAATTGATTTTGGTATGTGAGATGAGGTGGAATACGTTTTAATGATAATTGTGGTTAGAAATAATATAATTTAAATTTATATATGATAATAATTGAATATAAAATTTCTTACTTACGAGTTATAAATAAAAAAAAATACCATTAATTTTACTTTTAATCTAAATAAAAAGAAACAAAATGAAAAGGAAAAGAAATAAAATAATTTGAAATAGAAATGAAAAATAAAGGTTAACTGACAGAGCCCACCATGATTTGCTGGATTTTGCAATATGGCATCCATGATTTGCAGAGCCCACCATCGCAAAGAAGGAAAATTTGGAAAGCTCAATCCTTGTCTTTTTCTTATGTAAGTGTCGTTTTAGTGAACCGAATGTTCCGATTCCAACATCCAAAATACCGCAATGTGAATTTTTTTCATACTACAATTGGATTGTATCTTAAAATTATGAAGTTTTGGAGCATTGGTCACGCCATCAAGCTCCTTTGTGTTGGATTTCGTTAGAGATCGTAATTAATCCATTTCCTTTTTTGTGTCTCCCTCCAAAACCTTAAATTGAAACATGAACTCCCTAGCAAATAAGAGCCCAATTTGACAACCAAAATCTTCATCGTTCGAGCATCAATGTTCTCTTAAATTCGCTGCGAGCAAACCACCATGAAATCTCCTTCATGTGCATCTCATAAAATTAGAACAATGCAGGGAAGATTAGTGTGGCTCCTAAGCTAGGATTACACTTATGAATCGCAAAATAATTCCTCCTCCACTCTTTGATTCTCTCTTTCACTGGCTAACAATATTTTACTCTACCGTTTCACCCCTAAGTAAGAAATAGCATCTTTTTGAAAATTTCACATTTGACCTTAATTTATCTCTTTTGCACTATTTGACTGAACGACAAATTTTGATTGTCTAAATATTTATATCAAACTACAAATAATATTGATATTATATATTAATAACGTAACTGGAATTGTAGTACCCAACATATCTATCTTGAAATAAATTTTGTTGTCTATGAAGCGGCCTACTCGACTCTCTCTTGTACTCTTTAGTCCAGTCCATTTTGAGTTTGTGTAAATAGATCATTGTTTAACAATTGACATTCAATATTGTGATTTAGTGGTATTCATCATCACTTGTAAGTGAGAGATATTAGGTTTGAATCTTGGAGTGACGAGTTTGTGTAATCATTGTATTAAAGAAAAAAAATATTTTTGGTCGGACAAAAACACAAAAATGCCCTTAAAGCCCAAAGTGCCCCCACTACCCTATCACTGCCTGCAAGTTCTTTCCTCGCCTTTGTTTCCCTCCCTTTCTCCCTCTCAGACATTTGAGGACTCAAAAACTCTTTTAACTCTCTTCTTCTCACTCTCAAATGTCACCCTTTCTCAATCATACGCACGCCCAGTGATCTCTGAAGCACCAATTTCTCTTCCCTTTGGCTCTCTGCATCTCACCAGAGGTAAAAAGCCCCTGGTTTTTTTATATTTTTTATTTTATTTTATTTTTATACTTTTTCCTCAGTAAATTTAATCCAATGGATTTTTCGTGTACCCTTGCAGTAATACAGGAAGATTTTGTAGTATTTCTGGTTGTTGGATGATACTGGAATAATTATTGGGATTTTGAAGAATTTCTGGTTCGTATGATATATTTGCTAAAAGACCCAAAATTTTGAAGCAGAGCGGCCATGGAAAGGTGTTTGAAAAGAAAATCATATGATGAGTCAATGGAGTCGTCATCGTCTCCGAAGGAGAATGACAAAAGCTCGAAACAAGCTTGCGTCGAAATCAACTTGGAAGGTCTTCCTGTTGATGCCTTGCTGCGCACTCGAATTTGGGATTAGCATCCAAATGTTCGAGTTCGAGAGCAAGTTCGAGGAGTATATATGCAAAAAGGTCATTTTCAGACTCCAGACCAGGACTTCCCCCACAAGAATACTAGTGGGGGACCGAGAAGGTTTATATCTGCTTGGTTTATGAGTTTCTGACTGGTTGGAAGATAGTATAGCGAAAGATGCTTCATGTTGTCTATGCTGTTATCTGTTTAAGCTAAATACAGGAGAGCAAGCCTGCGGTGATTGCTTTGTTAGTAAAGGGTTTTGAAATTGGAAGAAGGAAAGGTTGGAGGGTCATGTTGGAGGACGGAATAGCGCCCTCAACCAAGCTTGGAGAACCTATGATGCTTTATTAAAGCAACACCAAGCACGAAAGGAATGTAAAACTATATTAGGTGTATCAATTGTTTGTATGAGGTTTCTCTTGCATCAAGGGCTTATATATTGCGGAGACGATGAATATGAAGGTTCAAATGATGAAGGAGTTTTTCCTGGACTCTGGAATTTCCAATGTGGTCGCCACGAAGAGTTAAAAGCTGTCACATTGAGAAATCATCCTTTAGGTCTGAAGTTGGCTTCACTTGATACTCAGAAGGACATCATAATTGTTTTTTCAATGGAAATATCAATGCAATCGTTAAAGATATTGGTAGTTCGCACTTTTCCAATCTTATCGATGAGCGTCATGACTTGTTTTCAATGAAGCAATTGGCCATTGTAATACGTTTTGTGGATAAAGGTCAAGTGATTGAGCATTTTTTTATGCATTGTGCAAGCCACTGATAATACTGCTGACTCACTTAAGGTGGCTATTGATGATTTCTTTTCTACCCATGGATTAAGCATGTCAAAGCTAGGGGACAAGTAATATGCTTGGTGAGTTGAATAGTATTAACTATTAAGACAATTATAATGAAGGAGAATGAGTGTGCATTTTACGTTCGTTACTTTGCTCACGGCAGCGAGAGACACGAATTTCGCTTTATTTACGAGCTTGCCACCGGGCTGATTTCAGCCCAAATTTTGCTTTATTTACAAGATTGCCATTGGGCTTAAGAACGGGTTTCCAGTCTTTCGGTTGGATCCGGGCTTTGACTTGGGGAGAGAGAGGGAATGGGGGCAGAAGGGTTGACGCCGGGTTGGATGGAGAGGTTCGCCAGGATTTGGGGGAGAGGATTTTCGGCATGGAGGTGCGGGTGGGTGTGCCTGTGGCTGATGCATCGGTCAGAGGGTTGTTGGGGAGGAGAGGAGGGGCACAGAGTGATTGACAGATTGGAGAGAGATGGGAGCTACGAGTTTCGACTAAAAGAGAGAGATTTAGTTAGGTCCTCTGCCAGGACCTATGACATTTTCTCCAATTTTAGAGAGAGAGAGAGAGAGGAGAAAGCATGGCTGTGTCCATTTTTTGGGGTTAATGGGTTACCGCACAGGGTCGGTGAGGAGAGAATGGCAGAGGGAGGTATGGGAGGGAATGTTGTAATCCCCTTTTCTTCCCTCTTTTTCTCTCCCGACTCTATCTCTGTAACCATCCCTCCCTTTTCTCACTCTATAATTTCCCTCAAATCCCCCGCCGATTCTCTCTCTCGCCATTCTCAGTCTCGACAGCCGCGAATCCTTACAGCTCCATGCTCCGCCTCCAGATTCGTCGAGATGAGAGCCCCAAGACCGTCGCCTGCACCACCGTCTCAGAAAAGTAAGCCAAAATCTCGCGAGAATCAGGCTGCACACGAGCGGATCCAAAGGCCAAACCCGATCTTGAAGTCGACACATCCAGAGGTAAAAATTTCTCATCTTCGATTTCATATATGTTGTTAGATTAAAAGGGAAAATATGAGAACTAACTCAAGCAAATGTTCTGGATGTAAGCTAAAAGATCAATTTAACTTTTCTTCCCTGTCAATTTAGTGCTTTTTTCTTTTCTTATTACTTTTAGGAGTTAATTTTGGAGATATATTATTACTAACAAATTTAATGTTGCCTCTGTCATATTTTTTGCTGAAGATTTCTTTTTTGAAAACCGTATGCCATGACAAAATAAATTTACAAATTGCTAATTTTTCTGTTTTGTATAAAAAAATCTTTGTTCACTCTACCTGAATAGGTACACTTGACTGAGAAGGAAAGTCTTTTCATATTAAATCCATGTTAGCCTGACTGCTGCCACCCTGGAACCATCGCTCTTCGGTAAGTTTTCAACACAATATAGTTCAAATCCTCTTAACCATGTTCTTGAATTTTACTATATGTATCATGTTCTTTGCATTTCATTATCTGAACTCTGTTATTTGAATTTGGTTACCTGAATCGTGCGGCCAGTGGCTTTGTATGGCTAACTGGTGTGATTTGGGAGTGTTTTTAGTCAATGGGAGACAGGGGACAAATGTGTGGACAGCGAAGTCAAGTGGGATTAGGAATTTAGGATAGTAGAATTTTTGCTAATTTATGGGATTAGAAGTCTTCCTTTATTTTTGTCTTGGTGTGATCAATTGTAACAAAGAATTTTCATTAAAATTGAGGTAGTGAACCAACGAATTTTCAACTTTTGTTTATCTACAGTCGTCTCCATTGTCTTGGTATTGGACCAAGCATGAAATCCCAAGCACTATATCACCACAAAGCAAGCAAGCTGAAAAGCAATCCAACAAACCCTTTTTCCAGAAACACTTAACAGAACCTTTCTATGGGTTAATTGTTGTTTCAATTATACCAGATTGAAAACGAGTATGGAACCATTGATCAAGCATACGGGGCTGTTGTCCAAACCTATATTAAGTGGGGAGCAAGCATGACTGTTTGTCTTTAAATACAGGGTGCCCTGGGTCAAGTGGCAACAAAAAGATGCTCATGCATCCGTAATGAGGCTTTTGTAGTCAGTTTTCATTTGCATTGTATTGACTTTGACCTTTTTTATCAAAGTCCAATAGCAATAGGTGCAGTAATTCTCAAACCCTAATTTGTTAGCCAACATCCCAAGCCCCGTTACAACCTTTGACTTCAATTTTGAGTGTTATGTGTCTCAATTTGTGGAGTTTGAATTTGGTATGAGCATATGGTGTCACTGGTTCTCGCGTCTAAGTAGTAGCATTCCATTCATGAGATCATATCTAAACATGCTTATTAACTCCAGAAATTGCTT